TCCTCCCCTGGAGCTTGACAAAGCAGCAGCACTGCCCATACACTGGTTTTAGGACCTCTGACCTCTTAGACTGTAAGATAATACGTTTTTGTTGATTTAAGCCCTGAATTTGTGGTAATATATTACAGTAGCAATAAGACATGAACACACTCACTCCTTCCATTTCATGTAGACAGTGCTCCTCAAACTGCAATGTGCAGCCATCTGGGATCTTGTTAAAGTGTAGCCTCGGATTCAGTGGGTCTGGCGTGGTGAGGCTGGGACTCTGCACCTTCGGCAGGCGCCCAGAAGGGGCTGGGGCTGCTGAGCCAGGGACCACGCCCTGAGTAGGAAGGATCCAGAAGGCAATGTCAAGACCAAAGAGAGAAATAGTTCCTGTGAGCACATGGCCTGTGTCTTTCATCTGCATAGTCTCCCCGAATTTACATGTTGTGATTGTATTTTATAAGCACAGAGCTGCCATGAGGTAGATTCTGGCATCATCTTCTACTGACAAGTAAAGTGATATTCAGAGACGGTGGGCAGCTGGCCCAGGCTGCGCAGCTGCTCGGCTGTATTTGGCTTCTGTCAGGATCAGGACTTGAGCTCAAGTTCCTTCTTTCCAACTTCTTTTCACTACAGCGAAGATAATGTGTAAAATCAAGATGCAGAAAGAACCCATGAATTCAGAAGCCTCAGTGTTACTCAAGCACAGGGAGCACAAAGTGCCATCAAAAGCCCCGTGGAATCTAACTGACGCAAGAATGGGTGGGAAGGAGAGGTGAGCTGCTACATGTTGTTTTCACTTGGAGACTTGACCAAAATGCTAATCATGCTTCAGGCCATCTCAGATGCACTTTTAGCGTGAGGCACATTGCTTTGATACAAGTATCTTGATAATGAATTAATAGAAATGTGAGCCATTTTGTCACACTCTGCCACCTTTTTCAGAAACTTTGTATCACATTCAGCATTTATTGAGCACTTACTGTGTGCCAAAGCATTCTGCCAGACACTACAGAATCAAATATAAATGAGACATTCTCCCCATGCTTTGGAATTTCTCTGTAAGATAGTAAAGAGGTAAATGCAAAAAAACAAACAAACAACAACAAAAAAAACCCCAAAGCCTATCTGTTGATCGATACAATTACAGAAGGTTGAAAGTTTCAAGGAAGGGTTGGCTTCCAGGCGTGGCAGTTACGCAGTTTGGGGAACCTTTGGCCTGGTGGTCTCCTGGTGGTCCCGGCCACCTGAGAGGAGGAGAGTTTGAGCACGAGCACGGCAGAAGGGGACACCCTGGTATCAGCGGATTGTGAAGCTTTTGGGAAGGTGCGTGGGGTGTTCTGCAAGGACACTCAGGCTGAGGGTGAGGTGCTTGGATGAGTTAGCTGGGTCCAGAACACTGACCAGGGCACAGTGCAAGCACAACTGCAAGATCCCACCTCCCAAGTACAACATATGCAGACGTGGCATGAGGCAAGAGGCAGTCCCAGATGACACATCAACAGCACAAGCTTCAACAATGAGAAAGTCACCTTAAAGTTGGATTACTCAGATTTCCAAATTGTGAAATAATTGTCTGAATTGAAATTTTCTGAGATACCCAGTGGTTTTGTTTTTTATTGTTAATAGAGATAGAGCTATTCTGTGTTCAATATTAGAATCGGTCAATAAGTTATTTTAATATCAGATATTTGATAGTTACTGTATGTTATGTGTATGATGGAAGGGTTACAACTGTACGCAGTTCTAATCAATAGAAACAGAGAAGCTTCTGTGTAGGAAACTTAAAAAAAAGACGAAAGGAAGGATTGATTTACTCTAGGGAAAAAAGGTGTTACATACAAGAAGTTGGTTTTGTTTTGCCTCAGAGGCAGTTGCATCTATTCCAAAAAGTCTATTGAGATTTTTAAAATAAATGTTCAAATAATTAAAGTCACAGATTCAGAACCCTAGCTCTTCCCAAAGTTTTAAAGTCCGTATTACAATAATCATTTTATTTTGAGCAATTATTAACTGTCAGTTGTAGAGGGGCTATTATTCCTGCTAAATCTGGCCCTGTTTACATATTTTATGCTTTTATATCTGTATACACATTTTTATACCTTTAACTGCATTTGCAAATTTAATACACTCCATTTCCTTCAGAAGTATTTTGACCTAAGAAACAAAACCTAACTAAGTACTAGATAATTCTTACAAATGTAAATACAGTGAAGTTTCAAGTCACATAAATGTCCCAAGTCAGAAAGATTTCAACTTAAGATCACAAGTTCAAATCAATTGCTTGACCTCACATTTTAGTTTTAGTTCTGATAAGAGAAATTCTACATTAAAATGCACACATGTTCCTTAACACAATAATATTATTGCTATGATTTTGATTATCTTAAATATTTAGAATCTTCCTGAAACTAAGAAGATGCTTACCTACTAGGAAAAACAACCACGCCTGGCAGTGCAGGGCAGTGTCCTCAGTTGTGACAGAAGGACCAGTGGGAGCAGGATGTCCACAGTGGGGGAAGCTGTATGTTTGGGGACAAAGAATATATGAGAAAACTCTACACTTTCTGCCCAATTTTGCTGTGAATCTAACCACCCTAAAAAATATAATCTATTAACTCATTTTTTAAAAAATAAAAGAAAGACAGTTACCATCTCTATTAAAAGAAGATTTTGGTTGAGATGCAATGTTCTGGTCCACAATCCTCAATCCCATTTATAGTTGTTATGTCCATGACTGTAATTTCAAGAGGTAGGCTTTGTCTCTGGATCCAAGTCATACTCACCACCTAAACCTTGAGTCTTGTCCAGAACTCTACAGTCTATGAAAGTTGATCTCTTGATTGGATTTTGCATGATTTTGGCTTTTAAGATATGTTAATGTTTCTTCTTTACATGTAAAGATCTCTGAAACTTACTAAAAACCTGCATTATTTTCATTTTATATGTTTTACAGGCCCACAGAAAACAGATATTAAAAGTATCCTTCTTTAAACACAGTGTTTCACGAGGTTTTCACTGACAGGTGGTGGTGAATTTACAGTCATTTGGTAACAACGCTCCCCCAACTCTAAAGCCTCCAGAGAAGAGGTGTAACTAAAGAATGGTCTGTATGGTGCAACACTCAAGCAGAGAAGAAGCTCACATAAATGAGAATATCAGAGGACGTACTGCCTCTTGGTGGGCCGGGGTACTATGTACGTGTTCAGAGCACTTGATGACCGACAAGAGTTTAGAATGTTAAACAGGCATATGCCTGGCAACGAATGGGGAAAGTCCAGTAAGAATGAAGCAAGTCCGAGTGCATACAGAATATTTTGGCCTAACCTATTGTATAGTGCTCAATAATCACGTCCTGGGTAAATGAATAAATACATGAATTGTGAACGGATACAGCGTAAAGTGATCATGCTCAAAGATGTTAGTTTGGTTGTTCTAGTGTGTAAAGCACAAGGCAGGGTTACGGATTTTGACTTACAGTAAAATAAAACCCATTCCTTCCCCTAAAAATCCTCTGTGCTCCACCTATGTCTTCATTCCTCCCCTCCCAGAACCCCTGGGGACAGCTGATCATTTTGCAACCCATATAGTTTTTGTTTTCCAGAAAGGCATACATTTGGACAAGGCAATACATAGCTTTTCCACACTGGCTTCTTTCACCTAGCAATATTCATTTACGATTTCTTCATGCCTTTTCACAGCTTCTTTTTTACGATGAATTACATTCCATTTTCTGGTTGTATCACAGTCTGTTTATCCATGCACCTATTGAAGGACACCTTAGTTGCTTCCAGTTTTAGGAAATTAAGACTTAAGTTGGTATAGACAATTGTTTGCAGGATTTCGTGTGAACCTAGGTTTTCAAATAAATTGGAAAAATAAGACTGCTGGATTGTATGGCATGGTAAGACTATTTTAGCTTTGTAAGAGACAGCCAAACAGTTCTCCAAAGGGCCTGTCCCATTTGCATCCCTGACCAGCAGTGAATGAGAATGCCTACTGCATGCTCCCCAGCATTTGGTGTGGCCAGTGTTTGGGATTTTAGCCATTCTAAAAGATATGAAGTGGTATCTCATTGTTTTATGAAATTCCCTTATGACGGATGATGGCGAGCATCTTTTCATACACTCACTTGCCATCCTCCTTAGTAAGCTGACTGTTCAGATCTTTTGCCCATTTTTTAAGTGGGCTACCTGTTCTCCCACCTGTTGAGTTTTAAGAGTTCTTTGCACTTTTTGATGAAAGTCCTTTAACAAATGTATATTTTGCAAGTATTTTCTTGCTGTGATATGTCTCTTGAATCACTGAGTAAAAGTTTTGAAATTTTAAAATACAATTTTATTTAAATTAAAAAAAAAACAACCCACAGAAACAGCTTACCCATTTCTCCCACCCTCCACACCTACCTCTGGCAACCACCAGTCTGTTCTCTGTATCCAGGAGCTTAGTTACGTTTTTGTTTTTATGTACCACATGTAAGTGAGATCGCATGGTATCTGTCTTTCTCTGCCTGGCTTATTTCACTTAGCATAATGCCCTTTAGGTCTGTCCATGTTTTATTTTTTATGAATGACTAATATTCCATTATATATATATATACACACCACAGATTCTTTATCCATTCATCCACTGGTGGTTACTTGGGTTGTTCCTATATCTTGGCTATTGTAAATAATGCTGCAATAAGCATGGGGGTGCCTATATCTTTTCCATTTTAAAAAAATTTCCTTCAGGTAAATACCCAGAAGCAGAATCGCTCAATCGTATGGTACTTCCATTTTTAATTTCCTGAGGAAACTCCATGCTGTTTTCCATAGTGATGGCACCAATTTACATTCCGACTATTCTAAGTGTGAGATGATATCTCACTGTGGCTTTGAGTTGCGTTTCCCTGATGATTAATGCTACAGAGCATTGTTTTCATGTACATGTTGACCATCTGTATGTTTTCATGGAGAAAATGTCCACTCATATCTTCTGCTCATTTTTTTAATCAAATTA